GAATTTATAAATAAAAAATTATATTATAAATAAAAATTTTACATATTATTTTTATTTTTATTTTATTATAATATCAATATATAAAAATACATAAATAACTTTACAAAAATAAAAAATAAAAAACCGATCAATCTCACAAGTTCCATATTAATGCGCCTGAAATTTTGCTGAAATAACAACTTTTCAATGGGCGGGGATACCACGCGGCAATCTACCTTAGTGGCGCATCGGTTAAACTAAGGGCCTTTTTCTTTTTTTCACACACACAAAAAAGAAAAAAATATCCCTTACATGCACCGTTTTCAAACATTTCTTTTTTTTATCAAACATTGCAACTATTATTTATATCTATAAATTTAGGCTCTATTTCATATAATTATATTTTCAATTTTTAAGTAAATCAATTTTTATAAATTTTGTAGTTATTTAAAACAAAAATTAAAAGAGTAATAATTCATTGAAGATAAATTTTAACATTGATAATTTAAAATACAAAATTTTTAATAATATTAAAATTATTTGTATTCTTATTTTTTTAATAATCATAATAATATATTACAAAAAAATATAAAAGTAAAGAAATTTTTTTATTTACAGTTAAAAATTTTATAGAAATTAAAAACGAAAACTAAATGGTGATTTAGCATATTTTGATTTTAAGTTATATAATTAAAAACAATTCTCTTTCATTCTTTTAACTCTCTAGAACTACATGCTACTTAAGTCAAATCCAAAATCTCATAATTTTACTATAAAAAAAAAAATTATAACTAAACCACTTCAGCCATTGTTATTTATACATTTAGCTTTTTTAAACATCAATTTTGTTTTTTGGTGAACATTTATTGATAAAAGAAGTGTTATACAATTTAAATTGCATTAATTGTAAAACTTAAATTATTGGATGAGGAGGAGATCCTTGATATTAATGTTGTTCCGCACCCAACTGTTCCTATTTTAATTATGTAATTTTATACAGAGAGAGAGAAGTGAAAATCATAATGTTCCAACATTTAAATTTTCAAAATCGCATGTAAAACAATTCAAATGTTTTTAATAAATCTTTTTATGTGTTAATTTATTAAAAATAATTAAACTATTTTTTATTATCATTCTTAATATTTTAATTGACATAACTTCTTGATTTTTTAGAATCCCATGTATATAAAATGAGAAATGTCAAATAATATAGAGTATATCATTAAGAAAACTTATAAGTATACAGGAAGGCATTGGCAAAATTGCTTTGAATGGTAGCTGAGGTGGTCCTGAAAACAGGTAATTAAGGGATTTAAGGGTCAAATCGAGATTTTAAAAAAGTGGAGGGGTCTGGATTAGGTGGGGACAGAGAGATCAAGCTACGAACGGCAAAAGTGAAAAAGCAAAAGAAAACGTGGCCATCCCTCGGGATTTCCTTAAATAGTCACGGCATCGGCCGTGGCCGCTGAAACAGAGTGACTGTCACTCCTCTCTCTCTCTTTCTCTCCGATTTCATTTCCTTCTCTAATCCTCTGCATGCATTTTGAGTACCTCCTCTTCTCTGTGTTTATTCGGTTCTTTTACGGGTACCGAAAGGAAGAACAAATCAGTCTCTTATAGGAAGGAAGAAAATGGTAGTACCTGATGGTGGCGGTGGCGTTGGCGTTGGCGGTGGTGGTGATGGTGGAGGAGATGGGTTTTGTTCAGGGTATTCATCGTCTTTTCTGTCGAAAGAAGTTGAAGGGTCAGAGAGAAGGGTGAAAGCAGGAGATGAGAAACAGAAACTTAGGGAAGCGGTTATGGTTCAGGAAAAGCACAGTGGGGATGCACCAGACAACACTACCGCAGCTTGCGGAAGCGGCGGTGGACGACCCTCTTCATCCTCTACAAAAGGGGAGACCTTAATGAAACCAGTGAAAGAAGAGCCGGAGGAGACGTTGGTCGGAGATGATGTGATCAGCTGTGGTGATGGTGTTCCTAATGGCATAAACTTCGACTGTAATAACAACAATGGATCCTCTTCTTCGAGTTCATCGGCGGTTTTGCCCAAACCTATGGAGGGGTTACACGAGTTGGGTCCACCGCCGTTTTTGAAGAAGACGTTTGAGATGGTGGAGGACGAGGAAACTGATCCGATTGTATCATGGAGCGTGACTGGTGACAGCTTCGTCGTCTGGGATCAACATACGTTCTCTGAGAATTTGCTGCCCAAATACTTCAAGCACAAGAACTTTTCCAGCTTTGTTCGTCAATTGAACAGCTATGTGAGCCCTTCTCTTCCATTTCTGAAAATTTTATGAGCATGTTTTTTGTACTTGATTTCTGCTGTTTGTGTTCTGGGTTTTGTTTTCATTCGGTGAAATGCAATATGGTTTCAGGGGTTTACGAAGATTGATCCAGATAGATGGGAATTTGCAAATGAAGGGTTTCAAGAAGGGAAGAAGCATTTGCTCAAAAATATTAAGAGGAGAAGCAGGTATAACAATCAGCAGCAAGGAGCAGGGAATGGTGCGGAGTCCGTTAGTGTTGGTTTAGAAGGCAAGGTTGAGCTTCTGAAGAAAGATCAGACTACATTTCAGCTGGAAATCCTGAAACTAAGACGACAACAGGAGGAATCACAGTATCAGTTGAATGCAGTTGAAGAGCGCATTCGATGTGCAGAATGCAGGCAGCAGCAGATGTTCAACTTCTTTGGTAAAATAGCCAAATACCCCAACTTTGTTCACCAGTTAATCCAGAGGAGGAAGCAACAGAGAGAGCTTGATGGGTCTGAATTCAGCAAGAAACGCAAATTGCTCGAGAACCACGCTGTGGAAACCTTACCTGATGCCACAGATAAAGAACAAGAATACGTTGGTTGCAGGAACCAGATTCAGGAACATTTGGAGTCAATGCAACCTGAACTGACAAAATTCTCTTATGGGGTGGAAGAGGAGACTGGTATTATGGAGAAAGTGTATTCGACTCCCATGGATGATAAACTGTGCAGTTTTGTTCAGGAACCAAATTGCAGTGTCATGGGTGGAAGTAAAACAAATGCACCAGACATGCCTTATGTTTATCAAGTAATGTCCGAGAACCTAATAGGGGAGAGTTCAGGTGCAGAGAACAAGAATGAAGAAGAGCTAGCAGTGAATGACTCAAAAATTTATCTTGAGTTGGAGGATTTGATAGGTAAGCCATGTAACTGGGGAGAACATGTAAATGAGCAGATGGAGCAAAGTGGCTGTGTTGGATCATTTCCTTGACTGCATTGGTATGGTTTATACTTCCTTTGCTGTTTGTAATTTCTTTTATAAGGCATGATTATCTTATCTTTCTTACCATGTTTTGACATGCTTGCGCTACTGGTTTTCAGATGGGTAGATGCATGGTGGATGCTTGGTCTTAGTTGATGGCAAGAACTTGACAAATGCTGGTTACTAATGTTCACATTTTTTCTAAACCTTTTGCACCTTTAGTTTCTTTTCTTTAGTTCTAGATGTCTAGTGTTGTCATCGTTGGAGTACAAAGAATTTACAGTATCATAACACTATATAACGGCACAGCTTGTTTCTTTAAAAAATGTATGGTATGAGATGAAAAGAGTTAAGACCCATGTGTCAATCATGAATTCATGATTTTGAAATTCTACTGCAGCCCTTCTCATTCTCTATACCACCTGCTGTCTTCGCCATTCAATTCAGCAGTTCTTCTGGTTGCTATGTTTTCACGATTGTGGTTATATATGTTTTGTTTGCCAAATCAATCCTTATTCTGTACAGCTAGTGCTGAAATAATAATGTTTTTACTTTTGCTGTCTGTTACCTAAGACCTGACACAGTGGATAAGCTTTTGTACATCTCACTATTAAAATAACCATGTTTATAGAACTCTACATAATTAGATCTTCACTAGAAGGTTCAGACAAACAAACAAACGACACTGATCATTATTTAAAAAAAAAAAAAAAAAGGGGCGGTGAAAGAAAGTGAGAGCTCCTCTGTTCTCTGTGACTTGCCAAACCTTTGGACAGATACAAATGATGCTGATATATTACTTTTGTTGGGTCTTTTGAAGAAGTTTTGGATGCAATTTAAGGTCCGGAACTGGTTTAGGGTAATGGACTTCTGAAAAGAGAAGCAAGGACAAGCTTGATGGATTTTTAAGGAATGAGTATTATTGGCTGCTACCATAATTTAATAAATAATTATTAGCACCTAGAAGCAGTAAAAAGATTTGGTCCACCGAAAATGTCTCCGGCCCCAAAAAGAACCTCCCTCAGGGACATCCTAAACGCAGCGCCGTCGGGCAGTTGACCCTGTTAAACAGCCAAATCATTCAATTGATTAAAAATGTCAATATGGGAAAATCTGACAACTTTTTTTTACAAGACTCAAAGTGGTCATAGAATTTTCTTTCCAATTTTAACAAATTTATAACCATCCCCAATATCTCGCTGCCTTTTTCCTATGCTTCCTTCTACCTATAATCAACTCAGTACTTGTAATTATACTGTACAAGGACGGGAAGAAATGGCATAATATGAAACAACCAAGTATAGATGCATTAGGTTTAGGTTTGAATCATTAACCAGCCTTATGCCTTATCAATGAGCTTACCATTAGGCCGGGTAACCCCGATTGATTTTGCGGAGGAAGATGATGAAATGGTTGATCTGTCAAACTCTTCTTTGTCCTCAGTAAATGCCTTGCTTAGAACATCTTGGAGTTCCATGTATCTTCGCTTCTTGAGAAGTCGCTCCTCTGTGGTGTCATTTCCTAGGCATGCTAGCTGCGATAAGTCATCTGCATCCATTATCTTGTTCAGTACCTCCGAGCAACGTGGAAAGAAGTGCTTCCCAAGTTCCACTGCATATGAAAAATGATTATTAGAGCTGTATACATCATCAATGTGGCATCCTAAAGTCATGAAACTGGCATTTCTCACATGCTTACTGAAACTGAAAATGAAATTGCTCCCTAATTGCCTAGTAAAGTGACATTTTTCTTCTCTTTCTTTGCCAACATAACTTTCTTAATGTGTATATTATTAATTGCTTTCCATAAATCACCCTTTCATTCATCAAAGATATAAAATTCCAAAACAAAACAACAGGAACAGTGCAAATCTGGCAAGTCCAAACTACCTATATGGACTAACCTCAGCAAATTTTTAGTTAAACCAGAACAATAAAACAGGAAAGGTATGTACCCTTACCTGTTCTAGAGAGTGCTTTCAACCGACTTAGATGCTCCTCCTGAAACCTAAATGGTGCCTCATTCAAGTCCATAGATTTCCTGTGTGCAGTGGTCTGTGTGTTAGAGTTGATGCTAGCAAATGTGAACTCTGATGTTCCATCCACTTGAGCAATATCCATAACAACTTGTGCTTCCATGGGAAATAGAAGTTTTGCCAACCCAACTGAAATTAATCATAAAAAGTAAGAAAATAGTTACAGAATTATCACAAGCCAATTATGATTTAACTGACCCAGTCTCTAGTGTTAAAGAGGTTTTGAAGTAAACTTCCAACAGCATCAATTATCTGATTCCATGATAGTCAGTAGAAGTTAGAACACTTATCTGGCCAATAAATCTATCCCATTTATTTGACTAGCTTTGATTTGAAATTAAGTATCATGAGAAGTATATGGAAAAGGAATAATATTGAGTGGGAAACTGCAGCATAAGGTAGAGATAATGCAGGTAGAAGGCATCAAAACATTTGAATGAAAAGATGTAAAATTAGATCATTACTTAACATTCTACAACAGAACCATGTCCTAGCATTTTTATCCTAAAAGTTAGTTAAGACACCCAGTGCCAAAATATCTCATTCAAACACGGTAGTTATTATTCATGAAAATATATATTGGACCAGAATATTCAATTAACAAAAGATAAAACGTTTTCCCAGCCTGCAATTAATATATGTACCTTTTACAATTACTAATGAGTGATAAAAAGCTATTAAATGGTGGAATATAGGATATGGTGGATCATCATGAGACACACAAACATGAAAAATGACCAAAAGCCTCTGGGGTCTTCTGATGTTTACACAAAAGAGGTTAGCTAAATGATACCAAGATGATGTTTATTTAAGTCTGTAACACATTTCTTATGGGTTATAATATAACATTGAAAATAAGATAAATGAGTCCATTCTATTTTCTTCTCTCTTTTATTACGTGATTGTCTTGGATCTATTGTACTAATACTGAGCTCATTCTATTATCATAGAATCCATGGTAAACCAAGTGGTTCCTTGATGCAGAATTATCTACAAAGAGACTTAACCAAATTGAAATCAACAGCAAACTCATAAATGCAACATTGGTCTGTGATCTAATGGAGGATGATGCAATACTAAGCAGTGCACATAAGAAGAAAAGGAATATGAATCGGGCTTACCCCTATTTTCAAGGTACAGCAATCTCATCCTTAGATCATCACCAGCTGTAGCAAGAGAAAGTGAAGCCTCTCCAAGTAATGGATCTCTTCTTTCTGCCTGCTCTAATATCTCTATGCACAATCGATCCTTTGGAGCATTTTTTCCTTCCTCAGTAGATTTATTGTAATCCACAGCCTTTGTCAGTTGCTTTGAGATCTGAAGTGCTTTTCTACCATCTAAAGTGAGATCTGATGGCCGTGCTCCCTTTGTCAAAAGAGATACTATAATCTTAGGTTCTTTTCGTATTGCAGCAACATGCAGCACAGTGTAGCCCCTTGAATTTCTGCTGTTAACATCAGCAAGTCCAAGATCCAGTAGTTCTGTTGTAGTCTTTGCATCACAGTATGCAACAGCATAATGCAATGCATTTGCATCATCTAAATTAGTATGCTCCTCTCTCAGCAGCATTCTGACCAATTCAACGTCATCTGAATCAAGAGCCCGATGAATCCTCTTTACATGCTTATCTGGAAAAATTCCGTTCTCTTGATTGTCCAAGCCAAGTTCCCTTCGTGAATCCATTATTTGTTTCGCAATGTGATGTGGCAAGGATCTTTCAAGAGTCACAATATCAACATCAGAGTTCACAATAACCTCAATGCACCTTATCAGTAGTCTCTCACAAGCATTACCACACATATTTGCAACACGGAGAACCTCCACAATGTTATCTACTGCAACCTTATCAAGAATGTCTAGTAGACGCCTCTACAATCAAAGAAAATAACCCAAAGAAACAATTAGAAAATAAACCATAAAAAATAACAAATTGATAAAGTAGTTAGCTCTAATAGCAAGATTAAACGGCACAAAGAAGACATAAATGGGTTAATTGTTTCTAGGCTTGTTTATCTCACAATAATCAATTATGGTTTACAAAAATTCCTCTCAGTCCCTTTCTTCATTCTTTATTTTTAATTTTTGAAGTAAGACTCGAACTTTTTAACCCATCAGTTAGAAATATTACTCTTTTCAAACTACACAAACAGAATTATCAATACGGAGAGGAACAAATAAGCCAGTTAAGAATTTGCTTCAGTATTTGCTCACCCAAACCAAAGTTCAAGTTTCTTGGACAACCTGATCTCCTAATTAACATTTAGAAATAAGAAAAAGAGCTTATCAGTTTTATATTATTCCTTTGAAGAGGAAGTGGAATTCATAATCATTTTTTCTGTTGAATCTCTTCCCTTAATGAGATTTTTCAGTGTTGACTATCAAAATCATTAACACTATAAACAGTTACTGCTAAAAATGTTCATCAAAAGCTAAAATACCAACTCACCTGATACAGAGCAACTAATTCAGAAACCTGGAAAGTGAAGGCGGCATACAAGACGTCCACCATGAAATCTATAGCCGGTCTGCAGGCCACATGCGAGCAATCTTCATCAACACAAACGCAGACGTCTCTCGGCAGCGGCCTCACTCTTCCACTGTATAAGTACGCCAAAACCGCCACAAGCGAATCGTACCCAACCTCATACTCCTTAGTCAGCTCCTTCAACTCAAGCTTGGCTCCCCTCTCTTTCAACCCCGAAAACACGCTCTTGAAATACGGACTCCTCACCGACAAAATGCATCGATGAACCGGAACCTCCCGGCCCGAGGAGAGCCCGATTTTCGCGTCAGAGTAGGAAAAATCAGAATCCGACGACTCGAACACTGACTCGAGGTTCCTAGACAGTAAGTGCAGCGCCGCATAGTCAGGATTTACCAGTTCAACCGACGATAGGGTTTCGGTGTTTGATGCATAGCAGCAAGTGCTGTTGTTACTAATCTCGTTTGAATCCGAGAAACCATTCCGATTATCCATCAAACGAAAACAAAAAGCTTATCCTCGCTATCAAGAATCACAGAAAATCTTCTTAAAAGAGAAACCGCCGGCTACTGCAGATCAAAATCCAACGATTGTCGCCACAGAGACAGAACCAGAGGAGACGCCGCCGAATCACTGCACAGATGAAAAGAGAAAGACTATGCAGGGAAGGGATGCTTTAAGTAAAGGAGATAGAAGCGGACGAAATTGAGGGAAGCTGCCATG